AGAGTCTTTGTGAATCAGACAACTTCTTTTAATAATTATTCAGCAATTGAAGTAGATGTAACTTTTTACATTTCTATTCTCGTAGTGCCAATAAGCGATGAAGAGGAGGGAAATTTAAACTTTGACAAGAATAACAAGATGGTACCTGACCCATTTGACTCATCTTCTGGTTCTGTTAAACTAATCGCCATTAATGCAGTCTCGATGCCGCCTTCACTGTCGGTGACGGACAGAAATCAGGAGATGTCGATCATCAATGGAGAGGTGAGACTTTGTGATCTTATGAAGGAAGAGGACAAGTACAGGTTCATTTTCATCTCTTGTGACTAAACGACTAAAACTTTCATGTGTAGCGGAACCCTTGAAAAAAAAAATTAGTTCTCAGAATGGATCCCAGACAGTTGTGCTCATCTTTTTTTCTGCCTCGGCAGCTTTGTGCTTTTTCAGGAACAATTAAAATTTGAAGAAACATAGACCAGATTTGCTCACAACATAACACAGATCACTGTAATTGTTTTTGTCTTCGCAGCTCATACATATTGAGGGAAAGTCTGCCGTGTGTTTGTATAAAGGCTTTTGTGAAGGATGCACACATTGCCTCAATCTCTAATTAGTTCAATATTCCCTAAATAGCACATTCAACATAACGTGGCAGATGTCCCTGCTAACACAATCACACAAACAGAAAATAATACAAAGTACACAGCAATTAGGTTTTCCAGTAGAAACAATGCAGTGCCATGCAGCATGGCCGTTAATGGTCCCATGTCTCCCCAAGCTCCATCTTAAAGTGATTCTGTCTCTTAAAAAAAGAAAATAAAGCTGCTAGAAGGTATAAAGTGCAGACATGCAGAAGTGCCTGCACATACCAATGGCTGCTTATATTGCCCCTTCTATGCCTGAATGCCTGACTGTACTCATCGGGGCACAGCTCTGACAGAGCTCACCCGCTCCCACCCACCTCTCATACATTCCTATTGGCCAGTGGGAGAACCCATAAGTGTGATAGGCCAGTGGGAATGTGTAAGGGTGGAAAGGAGTAGACAAATCTTACATTACCCAGAAGCAGTGGCATATCCAGAGCATGGCACATATGGCGCCACTTGAATGGGGGGGGGGGCGCTCAGTTGGCCACCAAAAGTATGCCGACCCACAAAGACATCTGACTTTTTTCTATCCCTGCCTCTCTCCCATACAGATCTCCCCACCCGGCTCTTAGCAACCAGTGAAGCTCTGGCTGGCGTCCTGTGATGTCACTGGTTGCCAGAATCTGAGCAGGACGCCGGCCAGATCTTCCCTGGTCGCTAAGAGCCAGGCAAGAAGATGTGTATGGCTCTTACACATCTCCCCACCCAGCTCTTAGCAACTTGGGACCCTCTGGCCGGCCTCCTGCCCAGCTCCTGGCCTGGCAACCAGTGACGTCCCTGGTTGCCAGGAGCTGGGTGGGGCACCAAGGGGTGCAATTAGTTTTAGATACGCCTCTGCCCAGAAGTGTCACAGCTTTGCCTGATCAGGACAACACATGTTAAGGTACAACTCCTTTATCGAGCCTTGTGTTGAGTGCTTAAACATTATCTTAATTTTATGTTGTTGCCAATATTTAAACTACTTTTAATCCAGGAGACCTGCACCCTTTTATGTTGTCTCTATGAGATCTATGATCTTCAGGAGATGCAGGACTTTGTAAACTGTTATAAAAGTATTTTTATATAATGTAAAAAATCAACAGTTACTGTGTAATTTCTCTTTTATTTTGTTTTGTGTTCTAAATATAAATGTGAAAGGGATCAGCTTAAGACTTATAATGCTGCCCACATTGCATCTAAATGATGACTCCATTTTTACAAACCCCGCCCTTGTGTCATGTCATTTTCGTCTAATGCTAAATACACTATTGGGAGACATCATGCTGTCGGCTTTTTATTTACATGAATTTTTAACTGTACAGAGCAAAAAGCAAGAAAAAGGGGATATGGTTTCACTATAGTGAGTCTTCTGACTCGTCTTAACATCCCATGCACACACTTCCTCCTCTACAACACTTGCTGTATATAGAAGCAAATGTCAAGGGATGGCCAGAGGGAGAAACAAAATAAGAAAAATATTTTTGCAGCTTGCAAAATTTTACTTGCCAACGTCCCTCTTCTTCTGTTGCCCAAGGCAGTGGCCCACAAGTCCCATTATGGTAAATACTCCCCACAAGCTGAATCTGTTTGAAAACCATAGACTTCCTGCAGTCTCTAATAATGCACATGGAAGACAGAAGTTATGTGAACCAGACAGGCTAGGCTTTAGATTGCATAAGGGGACATGGGAGCAGCAGTTTTTTTTAAATTTATGGTAAAGAAGTAACTATTCAAACTAATAATGGAATTTGGTAATAATGACATAATACAGCATAAGCTCGATTTGTTACATTTAATTTTTTTCTTTCCTATCAGGTGAACAAAGCGCTTAAGCAGAAATCGGACATTGAACACTACCGCAACAAGTTGCGTCTGAAAGCAAAGAGAAAGGGCTATTATGACTTCCCTCCTATAGAGAGCAAATCACTGAATGACAAGAAGAGGAAAGCCTTTGAGAAAACCCAAATGGAAATTGACAATGTGCTGGAAGAAAAAACAGATTCGTCTTCCCAGTTTGTGGAGGCTACAAACAGGTAGGCAGGGCGGCACTGTGGAACCATTTTGATATATTCTATACACCAGGGAAGGGGGTTGCTCAAAACATCAAACAAAGTTTTATATCAGCTCCAGGGTTTCCATAAACATTATAATAAAATTGGTTCCCTCTTGCAACACAGAAATCCCAGAATGGAGCTATCTAGTTAATAATTAGTAACATGTAGAATTTTTTAATGATTTTAATTAAGTAGAAAAATGAACATATAAATCACACAAGACAAACATTAAAATCATTAAAACACCTAAGGGCTTCCCTGCAACAGCTTTGTATACATGTAAATGGTGGCAGAATTTATATATATTTACCCCTCACGGGTGGTGAGCGGCCAGTCATGGATGGATCAGATACTGAAAAGTATCAACTATTGATGTGTCCTTGATTTAAAGAACATTCACTCAATGTGATGATTTCTTTGTATCAAACCAAACGGGTTCCACAGCCGGATTAAGAACTTCTCATCAGCCTCCCTGGATCATGGAGGGAAAAAGTATCCGTTTGGTGATAGTTATTTTGTAGCAATTCAAGGAGATACTTCCAATTAAGAAGCAGATCAATGGATGCCCCGTCGGATCCTTTGGTAGATTCACACTCATAGGTATGATCCGAGCGTGTGCCTCCTAATAATGGTGCGGCCGCACCAGAAGGCAGTATGGAGATATCCTCGGGGTGAAAGGTGCTTTAACGTCCAGACCTCTGATCCAATCACAATTCCTGAGTCCGAGCAGCTTAGCTCGATCCGCTCTGCAGAAATTAGTTACGCCAGCCATAAGCCTGTAGTTCGGCCAGTAGTAAAAAAGCTGTGCAGGGAGCTCCGATCACGCCAGTCAGCGCTGGCAGATCGGAGCGGGGAGGGGGGAATCCAGTCCCTCCCCTGTCACGGCAGAGAGCCGTGACAGGATCGAGAGGTGAGCGAACACCGGTATATGTTCGCTCACCTCCTGATCTACTAAGCCGACCTGTGACAGTCTCATTGTCACAGGTCGGCTAGAACTATGAGGTGCGTGAAAAGCACTCACCTCATAGTTCTCCTTTAATGATTTTAATGTTTGTCTTGTGTGATTTATATGTTAATTTTTCTACTTAATTAAAATCATTTGTATAAAATTCTACATGTTACTAATAATTAACTAGATAGCTCCATTCTGGGATTTCCATGTTGCAAGAGGGAACCCTGCCACCTTATACTAGGGCCAATATTGGCTATGCATAAGTCATGGGCTGACTAGGAGACATGTTAGCATGCCTCTTCTGTATTTAGGACATTTTACTTAATATTATTATTTTTTATATTATTTATTCTTATTGCTTTAAATGTAAATCCTCCAATCATCTCTGAATTGGTGCTGACACTGTCCTTCCCTTCTTGAGGGTGGCTGCTTTTGTTCCCCATGGTCCCTGTGTGTGTTGTAAAGTAACCACCGCTCCAATCTTGCTCCTGTGATAGACTACAATCTCATATTTAGTTTACTAATTTGTATTGAAATTCTAGTCTAACATAGGAGTGAACTTGGAGCTACATGTACAATGTAGCTGAGGTCCTTTGTAATTAACTAAACTAAAACAGAAGAGATCTGAAAACTTTGAAACAGTTTTTATTACAAATAATTGCCACACTTTTTTGAATTAACAGCATATTTAAAGTCATGATTTTCAGCACGAGGCAGAAAAAAAATGAAAGTTTATTGTGATATATATCGGTGTGTTGGGCAACATAGATCAGAAAACAGGAATAATGAAATTATTTAATGGCTGTTAGGATAATAAAATACCAGCAACAGTGTTTACTTTCTATTTCACAGTCAAAAAAATTAGTTAGAAGCCAGTGGATATTTTTCATTCGCTGGGATATAAATACATTTAGGTTTGGGTGACTGATTACTGGAAATTAAGATGCAGTTGCAAAGGGGAGTTATTGACTGTGTAATGAATTACCAGGATGGGGCCACTCTGGAAGGAATCGTATTATTCTCTCTGTGGTGCTGCTAAAGGCTGAAAGCAGTAAAGGGTGAAAGATTAAAAGGTGTAAATCATGCAGTGTGGGGAGCCGGAGCAAAAGACGATTCCTGGGAGGAAAATCTGCTTGATGGAATATAGAGAGATTAGACTGCATGTGGGTGGATGGGAGAGCATTAATTGTAAAAGTAGAACTCAGGCTGCAATGTAAATCTGGGGTTGCTATCTGTCTGTCTGTCTGTCTGTCTGTCTGTCTATCTATCTATCTATCTATCTATCTATCTATCTATCTATCTATCTATCTATCTATCTATCTATCTATCTAATTCTATAATGAGGTAGCCTGAAGCATCTGTTTGGGAACTGCCACCCCATTTCTGGCCAGAGTGTCCCATGTTGCTAAGAGCCAGGTGCGGAGATGTGTAAGGGCCATACTAATTTCTCCGCCCAGCTCTTAGCAACCTGGGACGCTCATGCCAGCTTTCCATGAGCTCCTGGAAACCAGGAACTCAACGGGACACTGTCTCCCCACTCAGCTCTTAGTGGCATCTCTCTCCACCAGCACCATCCAGCAACACCCCCCTGCCACCTCAGGTGGCAAAAAGGCTAGGGATGCCCCTGATTATCGTTCTGTTAATATCTATCTATCTATCTATCTATCTATCTATCTATCTATCTATCTATCTATCTATCTATCTATCATATAATGGTAGATACAGTACATATATTATTTTAATACAACGCAGGAACTGTATGACACATTAGTGGAGGTCAAAGGAGGGGATCAATGAGCTGCGGGGACCATTGGGATTGCCGCTCCCTAGGGTGTGAGTTTCCTAGCTTAGACCATTTATGTTCAATAGACCAGCACTGAGCACCGTAGGGGGCAGGACAGGTAAGTACGTAACCTCTTCTTTACAGGTATGGCCATAGATTAGGACATTTTATAATCTCATAGGCTTTCTTTAAAGAAGAACCTTACCTTCTGCTGTTCAAAGGCATTTCGGTCACTTGCTACTTCCTACTGGGTGCTACATGCTTGGGCCTGTCTACTGTAGTCACATGATCAGCCATAGAGCTATAATAACAGAAGAAAATTGCCTGAAAAAGCAGAAAGCCAATCACATGACCGAGAAATATTGTTTTTACTTGATGTATTTATCTCTATGGTGTATATCTGCGTATAGTGTATTGCTGGCTACGTCCTCCCCAAGGCTACCACAGACACCTAAAACTGGCCATACACTGCTCGAATTTGGTCCAGAAAATCAGGACTCATTGGCACCCCTCCTCTCGACAAAAGTCAGTTTTGCATTTGAGTTTGAGAAAATTCTTGGCTCAACAGTGGCTGAACAGTGACTGCAGTCAATCATCACACCCACTGTGGTCAGAATACAATAGCCCCATGGTAGGGGTGTGGAGGGGCGAATCCAAAGTTTTTTCCCCCCATGGGCCGATCTAGAAAAACCAATAGGTGTATAGCCAGCTTTCCCGCTGAACATTTCCCCATATCTTTCATGATCCCAGCAAGTGTAAAACTCTTTTAATCCTAAAAGTAAATGGTAAAATGTTAGCTGTTAATACTGTTAGTGTATTCTATCCCCCTGCTACTTGTGGAGCTGCATTTAACATGATCAAATTCTAACATAACTCTAACATAACACGGAGCTCGTGTGAAATTGTGATTAACGCGCTTCCTTGTAAACGGGCTAATGATGAACCTCAAAGAGATAGCGAGAGAGATAATATAACATTCCGCAATTAGGTCAGCAATGATCACAGGGGACTGTTCAAGCCTACTGAAATACCCATGTTATCATGGAGTTTACATCAAAGCTCAGTGGTGTATTTTGTGAGGAGGATGAATTTGATTAATTTGCCGGCATTAAGTTCAGTCGTTATAATGCCAAAGTTTTCACCTTCAGAGGGAAAGTTTATTGAAATTTTAGTCGGTGAACATTTTGGGATTTTGTGTAATGTTATCTGAAAACAATTGACAAATAGCACCTCGCGCCAATCCCTGTGTAGCTGCAAGCACTATAAGAAGTGTTATCCTCTGACTATATCAAATTATAATGAATGTGCTGCGCTTCATCTAGAACAATACATAAATAAATCTCTATAATAAATATGTGCTTAAATAATACATGCAATAAAAAAGTGTTCACAATGAATCTTCTTGTAAATAATAGTCCTCTGGAAAGTTCAATCATATATTCACAAATGTGGAACACACATATATAGTGCTCAAGATTTGTCCCAAGTGCACCACACTCTTTATCCTTCCACTGTGAAAGTTCTTTGTACAAAGTCCATACGTCAACTCCAATTATCACCCAGGTGCTCCCCCTCTCAGTGACCATGCAATCTCCAATCCACATCTGCGAGACTCCGCCCTACGCATAGGGCTGTGTTTGCACCTGATGAGAGGAAGCATCCCCGGTTGCAGTGGACACTGTCGGCTTTATAATCCTCTGAGTGTGTCTGCGACTCCAAGCCCCAGATGAAGCCCAGATGAGTTATGCCAATAAGCTCATGTGGCCTGAGGTGTGCCGGTGGCCATACTGTTAGGTACACCTAAAAGGGGGCATACCAAATGAAAAGGTGATGGAATTTGAAATGAGAAATAATGCGGGATGGGTGGGTGGGGACAAATGCTTCCCCTACAATGTCAGGCAGGAAAGGGAAGAGGAGGAATTTATATAGCCATAATCCCCTCCCACAAATACAGGTTAACATATTAACCTTTATACATGCTCAAAGCTAATCAAATATTGTCTAAATACAAGAGGCATGTGTATTCTTACCTGAATCTTGGTGTGCTTTATGTATTTCTTCCACATCCGTGTAGTAATTTGCAGCTCTCGTACTTTGCCTCTGTGCAGGAACTTCCTTTGATGAAAACCAGTCTCAAAGACCATGCCATACTCAAAGACCATGCCGGAGCTGCCACAGGTGATCCACAGTGCCGGGTGACTGGTCTTGTATCCGCCCCCTCCTGTAGTTTTCTGCAGGCAGCCTGTAATGGGTGGGACCTGCTGGGCCCCTCCTACAGCTCTGCTCTCTTTATAGGATATGTGCAGCACAGTGATGATGCCACTTCTGCCTATACAAGGTGATATCTGGGTTTGCAAAGGCAATTGGTGCCCATAAATTTGATATATATACTCTAAATGAATTTTTTTTGTGCCTGGAGCTTAGCTTTAAGTGATTATACAGAATGTGTAGGGTGCAACCCTGGGTGCCTTTCATTGGTGTTCCCAATACCAATATGAATGTTTTGTGTTTGCAGCTTCTGTAAACAGCTTTTCATAGCAGGAACATGCTTGTATTATCTGTCCTCTGGGTTTTTCAGTCCCTGACAATATGAAGGCAGCTGTCCATGTGCTATATAAATGTCCATGTAGACTGAAAAACAGCTAATTAACCTGTCAATATGAATTAAGACACACTCATAGAGAACAATACTGTGTACTGCAAGACTGCTTAGGAAGCGGCGATAGGTTCATTAAAAGCACACTGCTTACATAAGTAAAACAATGTTATGGCCCCTACAGAATCTCCAGTACCTAAAATAAAGCTTTATTAAAAAGAAAAATAATCTCCTTCCACTTGAGAATTGTTAAAAGTATATTTTTGGGATTACTAAAGACTCTTTTTGGCTTTTGTTTGGAGAATATACATGTCTCTTTACATACTGGCTATTATATTTTTGCAAAATGAGCAGTCCTTGTCAATAAGGGTAGCAGAGCACCCACCTCCCTTTACTGGTGCCTTATGCATGTAGCCCTGGTTTGATAAAAGCATTTCCCCTCCAGTTTTCAGCCTAATTACAATTTCTTTTTACATTTTTTTTCTCGTGTATCATTACGCTTTTTGTGCAGTATAAGATATGCTGTATATATTCAACTTTTTTTTTCACAACTGATAATGTCCAATATTAGTCACTTGCCTAATATATTATAATTTTGAGATTATTATTGTGCGTTTATTGTTATCTTGAGATTATTTTATTTGTAAAAATAATTTTAGTCGTTTCTATGTAGTATACAGGAATATTCATACCGCATATAAATATGGAAATAATCCATATTGATATTTATTGTTCACTTCTGTCTCTAGCTCTGAAGGGGGTTCTATGCACCCCTAAAATGTTGGGTGTTTTATGTACTGTATCCATTGCTAAAAAAAAACAACTTTTGGACCATTTTAAAAAACTGGCACTTTACAGTGAGTGGCAGCTTGAAAAAAAAAAATAGTACAGGACTTAGTATCTTAGTATATTTGTGGGGCATTTTATAAACCCCTCACATATAAGCCCTGCATGTATCCAGCTATTCGCAGGACTTACTACTGCTAGTGGCACTGGGGACAGGAGATGAATCCAAACATGCAAATTAGAATTTTAGGCTAAAATGAGGAAGATACAATCCGTAGCGTACACAAGGATTTTCTTTTGTTCCTGGGGGTTGAACAAAACAGTGTGGGAGCAAAAGGTAGTTAAGTATATGCATCTGTGGAGGTCTGCATTAATGTGAACCTACCAGATTTGATTTGAAGTGCCAGTGGACATTACAGAATGTTTGCGGGTTATAGTTTAATTGGGGAACATTTGTATGTTTGTAGGCCTCTCCACAACCCTGGTTGATGCTTCTTGGCTCATCTTCTCAGGGTAAAGTTAACTTTCTATTGTTTTTACTTGGCTTTGCTGTAACTATTATTATTATTTTTTCTTTTCAGGCAATCCTCAATGAAGAATCATCCATATAGGAGTCGCCAATCTCTGAACAGTCCAAGCCCAGGAGAGACTGAAATGGACCTTCTTGTAACTCGGGAACGACCACGACGGGGAATTCGGAATAGTGGCTATGATGTGAGTTATATGTTGTTCATATGCTTTTCATGTATGAATATACAGTATATATACAGTGTGTGTATATATATATATATATACATATATGCATAATATTGTAATATTTATAACAATTAAATAATAATACAAAAATGGAGCTCATTCATATTGAATCCAACTGAATTAAGATCGCTTCTCTGACTTACACCCAGATATTTGTTTAGTCGATAATTTTTCTACTGTTAGTCCATAATGCTGATTTATTAACATCCCCCTAAATGATCTGTAGACCCAAGTGTCCCTGCTTGGAGATTTATATTAAGGAAGAGATTCTCACAATCCCTTTCAATGTGTATGAACTTCAGTCTAATTTTTAATTATCAGGGAGTAAACACATCTCAAATCTGTCTCCCTTATCATATGGTACAGCCTTTCAGACACTTTACTTAAGGCATGTGCTGTATAGATGAGATTGTTTGGATCAACTAGATTAAATCAACTAGATATACCTTTTTGCACAAATGGACTTTTAGGGGCATATTTGTAAAGTAGGGAATCTGTCACACACACCCAACATTCACTGCAATTGAATCTTCCAGGTGTATGTGTTTTTAAATGACAGTGATTTATTCATTAACAGTGAATGTTTGGAGAAATTAACATTTACTAATTCATTAATATATACTGTATATGTATAAATATGTGCCGCTTAATTTTTAAAGGCAACACTATCAAATGTTTTAATACCCTACTTGGATTTGTCACACTTGCTGTACATCATGTCTTGTATACAGAAAGCACAATGGGATAAGTACTATAACCAGTTGCTCCCACAATGGCCTTGTTAAGCCACACAGGGGATTCTGTCCTCTCGTCGGGCAGAGCAGTAATTGTACTCAATGCATGAGTCATATAAAGACATACTCTCCTCTTGTAATAGTTAATGTGGTTGTATTCTCTCAACCCTGTGCTATGTGAAAAGATCTGCGATCACAATGATTCATCAGACCTTTTCAGCTTCCATCTTTTTTCACTGTGGATAGGTCTAGATAGAAGAATCAGCCTCAGCACAAAGCTGACATTTTCATTTATCATGTTGCGGAGGCTGACGGAAAGCAACCTCAAAATACTGATGCATGTAAGAAACTTAATTTCTATTTTGGCTAATGTGAGGATGCAAAGGTTTTCTTTGAATGACAAGGATGAAACATTTCTGCCTGACCCCGTTCTGGCAGGGCAGACAGGGCAACATGTTCTGATGCCATGTTTAGTCTGTTAGTAGTATCAGATCGCAGGCTTTGCAGGATATCTTAAGTCTGTGGTTTCTGGTGACCTAGTCAAGAGGAAACTCCGACACTGGATCTTTTGCTGAAGTTTTTTTCCAAGAATAGACTAATAACGTGCAAAATAAGGTTTACCACTCAGCATCACAGAGACCATAGCACACTATGCCTTTTACCTCTGGACACACTAGTAACTAGAAACCATAGTCCTTGAACTTTCAGATGAGGTCAAATAAATTAATTTCAGATACATCAGAAAAAAAAGGTGTGCACAGTCTGACACGTTCCCTGCTGATTGCAGAGCTATAGGTCTAACTCAGCAAAAGATGTGCTCGACTTCTACAGAGAGACCACTGCTTCCACACAGAGAGCAAGAGCCCTTTTCTGGCAGAGGACTGGCTTTTCTGCTCAGGATGTGGTTGCTTTCTACAGATAAATAAATGTTAGACTTTGCACACGTATTGTTTTGATGTACTTGTAATGTATTTCGCTGATTTAACGTGAAAGTACAGTTAAAGCCGGTCACCGGGCAAACAAAAAAGTACCCTTGCAGTGGTACTGCACTCTGTTTGCCTGAGGACGGGACCGCATGGTCTCGAAACGTCGCTAAGGAGATGTGTGTTATCTCAGTCAATAAACAGCATTGACTTTAATATCATGGAGTGCGAGTGACTACTTTTATCCATCTACATTTCACGGAGGCATCCGTTGTCACTACCGCACCCACCCAGTTGGATTTGGGTTTTTGTCCGGTCAGGAGTGCAATTGGACAGGAGGATTAAGTTTCCCTCCATTTTAGACCTACAGCCATTCTCCAACATTCAACATCAGACATGTAAATTTAGTTTCATTCCAAATGGATAGTTGTATGAATTTTGTTAAATTTGGACATTCAGATGCATCCGAATTTCCGAATTCGAATGTGTCCGAATGTGAACGAACCAGAATGCTTGTCTAATGAAAATTCGGATCTGTTTGAATTTTGTTCAAAACTAAACTAAATTAGACATGTGTTCTCTGGCCAATCAGATGCGTTCTTTTGGCTGTTGAGGGTTGCATTACAGGCACAGCCATGTGACTTCATTCCAAAAAGGAAAATTCGGATGGATCCCAATAACAAACTAAAGAAATAAAAAACTAAAGAAATAAAAGTGGATCTGAAACGAAACAAATTTTTTCACGGGGTTGCAAGTCTATTCAACACTTCAGAGAGGGTCCCCTGCCACATGCTCTGATCCTTTCTCAAAATCCTACATCACTACAAGACACAGCAGTGACGTAGGCATAGGAGGATGGAGCGCCAGCATGCCATAAGGGAAACAGGTATCTGACACAAGAGTGGCCAATACTCCGTACCTATAGCAGCCTGTTATATCTCCGTTCCCTATGTGTGGGAGATGAATCATGATTGTTGTCTGGTCGGCTACACTTTGCACATAGTCATTGCTCTTTGCATTACTGTGATTAATAAGCCCTATTGTTCCTGCAAACTTTTCATTCTGCTTTTTAAAGAAGTCACGATAAAAGCTGCTTAATGATCACTTGTTTGGAGATTTGATTGAGTTATCACAGATTTGGGTTTTAATGGATCTTATGTAAGTTTTAGCTATTGTCACTTTTCTTTCCGGAGGAAGTAGGTCAGGCTGATGCTTATTAATCTTGGAGTCCTGGGAATTGCAGAGATAGGACAATTTATACGTTACAGATGAAGGGAGTAAACAACATGTATCTAACATCAATAAATTGTGTCCTATCGGAATAAAGTCTACCAGCCAAGCAACCTTAATTAGTTTCTATTCATATTTCAGTTAACCAAATCTAAACTGTAGCTGTGCATAATGAACAGGATACAGTTTACATTCTCCTCTAATCTCCGCCTGTTCCGCTCTCTCTGTGAGCAATGTTTGTAGTCTGGAGTGTTTGTTATCGCTGGGTAGGTACTCCTAAATGGCTGACCATTAGATCAGGGATGGGATTGGATCCTTGTTGGACCCCCCCAAGTCTATGGCATATTATGTTCCTCTCATTCACTGCAGGCATAGTAAGACTTAGGACAGAAATCAGAGTATAGTTGGAGATTCTCATTTACTTACTTGGTCTGGGTCAGCCACTCAGAATGTATTAAAGCCTTTGGATTAGCGTGACATGATATCCCAGCATCTATTTTGAAAAGGAAAGCAATGGCAACCTACATAATTTTCACAAATGGTCCTTTAAAAGGCATGCAAAATTTTGTGTAAAAAGACATGCTTATAAGGCCTCATGCATGCGGCGTTCACACTGTGGCTGGAGATTGCTGCAGCAAGAATGTATGGATTCTTGCGACAAGAATTCCAGGTGTGTCTGCACAGATGCGGCTGCTGTGCCCTTTCAGGGTTACGCCACATATGTTTGTCCTGGGACAAACATCTCTCCCAATCGACCGGTAACTACACCATGTACGATTACATGCGGACAGATGTGGCCACTGTCACCCTGCCATTAACTTGCATGGGCACACATACCAAATCTGTATGGACACACCTGTAATGAGGTCTAAGTCATGAAGTGTGAATGGCCCTGACATAGAGTGTGGCGGTGGATTACAGCTTGAACCAGGCACTAGCACCTGTGCAGAATAGAATGTGTCTCCAGAGAGCAATAATATCACTATAAAATAGATTTCAGCAAAAATGTATGATTTGGAGAATTTATATATATGAACTCTCTGTAGCTGTCATACTGAAAATGGCAAGCCAAGTAAAAATGAACATCTACTATAAATCCTCATTGAAATGCAGTGACTGTCAAAACTGACGCTTCATAATTTCCCTGTGGACAAAAAAAAAATCAATGTGTGGTGGAGAAAAGCCGCAGAGGGCTGAGAACGAATGAAAGTTTAACCCATTACTGCCATCTGCAGCAGTTGATGTCGCCATACATTAAGTCTCCTATGTGTTGTTTCCTCCAAAGCCCAGAGGAAGTCATCTGCTTTGTAGGATTTCCGAGCACAGGTTTTGGTCATTAGTAGACTTAAAGGGATGGCTGCGTCAGATTTGGTTTTCCTTAAATAATTGTGCCCAGCAGAGACATGTCCTTATGCCGTACCTTGTTTATTATTAGCCAACTCTGACTACTCAGATTATATGAGATTAAAATTACTGTGCGGATCTGTAAGGTGATAAATGCTACTTCTGGGTATGTGGAATACCAGCTCCCCCTGCAGCATACTGTAATTGCTTCTTCCGGCTCCTATACCACTACAAGTATGAGCCAGTGGGAAAAGCCACAGCGTACATGGGGGTGGGGGGACGACAAGTATTTGACCCATCTCATTTGGTCTAATATCCATTTGTTCCTGTGCCAATTGGGTAAACATTTAGGCAGGTGTTACTGTGCTAATCTAATAAGCGGCAATGGCATCCTGTCCAATTAACAGGACTAGGGAGTGAGGCAGTGATCAGAGGATTGCTAAATTGCTTCCAGATTCAGTGGTAAACAAAGTGGTCTCATGACTGCTGAAGCCTAACATTGGACCAATGTGTCTTTTGTCATGGACTCCAGGCACCATCTTAGGAGAGCACGTGTCTCATTAAACCCAAAGTTCTCTTCATATTTGAGGGGTCAAGGGGCCAAAGGTCTCACAGCGTGGGAAGGTAACAGAGAGGTTCCTGATGAGGAGGGATAGTTTAGGGACCCTTGGAGACCACCTGGCATCAGAAAAAAGTATGCCTACCTGTGTTCCAGCTAATTGGCCTGGTGCATTTCTGCACACCGCTCTGCTAGGATAGCATGGACTTGGGAAGGTCACTTCTAAGAAGCCTCATGGGTACACAATTAAGGAAGCATGCCTCGAGCACCATCCTGTATGTAAGCTTTGCATTCACGAACCACCTTGCGACTGACGTGTATAAGTGCCGTAATATACAAAGTTAAACTTTGCAGAAGGAATAAAACATCGTTGTAACTGTCGATTATTTGTTCTATAAAAGAATTCTTAAAGGGTTGAGAGCGTGGAGCGTTTTAGTGTGTGGGCTAGTATGGATGCTCAATACCTACTCTATGGGTCATTTATGAGTAGGCATTGATTAATCAATCAATGTGTTTTTGGGTTAATGTGAAACAGCTGCTTATAAACATATGTTTTTCCCAAACATACATGGGGATAAGACACAAACTTCATAACAGGGAGCAACCTTGGCACTCCAGCTGCTGGAGGCATTGCAAGACACTGACAGCCCCAGACATGGTTACCAGAGATAAAGGCATGATGCAAATTGTAGCCTCACCGCAGCTGGAGTGTCGAGGTTGCCTACATCTGCTGTATGCAGTTGGCACTACTGTGGAGACTGAACCTGAGACCTCAGCACTGCAAACCCCTTAGCCATTTATCTGCCCGTGGCCCCTGTGTTCTGTTGAAACGGCTTCCTATTGTATAAACCATCTTTTATCTAAGCTGATTGCCTGGAGTTCATCTTTAAGAACTCCTGCACTGCAAGGGTTAAGTGTTCGTTTTGGTCTAGGGATGCAAATAAAGAAGATATACTCACCTGATCTCTAGTCCTGTGGTTGTCACCACTTACCTCTCTTCCCCTCCGCTCCAGCTATGGAATGTCCTCACATATAATTCACGTCAATATACCTGCATTAGATGTGATGTCAGCAGTTCTTAGACCACTGGAGCCCAGTATGTATATCTGTTTTATTAAACCCCCTAGACAATAACAGCACTTAACCCTTGCAGTGCAGGGGTAGCCACACTGCAAAGGTAAGTTTTTTCCTATTCCCATAGTTCTTTTTATAAAGAGAAGTATTTGGTACACATTAACTGCACCTACAAAGCTACATTGCCAGCTGTCAGTGACATGGCTTTGTTTGCAAACAAAGTTACTGATGATCATATTATTATTATTATTATACAGGATTTATATAGCACCAACAGTTTGCGCAGCGCTTTACAATATAAGGAAACATTACAATCACAATACAATTTAAGACAAGATGGTAAGGAGGGCCCTGCCCCTGAGGGCTTACAATCTAAAAAGGGGGGGGGAGGGAGATTAGTCATTAGGTCATATTAGTGCTAACATAGTGATCACATGGCTTGGTTAGAAAACAAAGCCATGTGATTTTTTTTTCTTTCAAGCAAATGTCCCATAAGCAGTCCCCACAGAGCAATTTAGTGGTCATTTTGCTCCAGAATCAATTAAGGCCAAACCACTCAGCTCAGGTTAAAATATTGCAAGGAAGCGACATTTACATTTTTTGTGCAGTAATATAAAACGACAGCAACTGAAATGGGCAAATTACAAAATGGCTTGTGTGGCAATTATAAATGTAAGACCAATTTTTGAGCAAAAGTCGAGCTTGCCTTTAATGGCGTCATAATCCGTCTGCTGCAACATCATATGTGTCATTCTTCTCTCTTAGACGGAACCTGAAATGATTGAAGAAACGAATATTGATCGGGTAAAACAAGCCAGAACGTACATTAAGTCTCGTCAAGGTAAAGGTCATTCTGAGACATCTACGCTGAGCTCTCAGCCTTCCATTGATGAAGTCAGGCAACAGATGCACATGCTGCTAGAAGAGGCATTCAGCCTGGCATCTGCGGGGCACGGAGGGCCCAAGCGACAGGCAGATCCGTATGCTTCAGTGCAGCATATGCCGTATTCAGAAGTTGTCACTAGTGCTCCTGGCACAATGTCTCGAACTCGCATGCAGTGGGTGCCAACGTATGGGCCTGAGATGTATAGCCTTCCAAGACCGGTAAGAGTTTATGAAGCTCATATGTTTTGTTTATCTATATTAAGTATTGGGGATACCAAACTCATTTGTCTCCCCTTCCCCTGGCCAGTTCCATTGTGATGTCATCATGGCTAAGATCTATCTATCTATCTATCTATCTATCTATCTATCTATCTATCTATCTATCTATCTATCTATCTATCTATCTATCTATCTATCTGTCTGTCTATCCATATATGGGCCATTAAAGCTAAACCCTTCCTGCCTCCCTCTAATTACTGGCATAGAGATGGCAGTATGGAATGTTTACCTACCTAAAGCTATCATCACATGATGCTCCAGTCCTGGGTCTTTTCTCTTCTTCTGTGCGCAGGAGGTGGAGTCCTTTTTGGGTTGTCCATGTCACTTCCTGCTTCCTGCTATTGAGGATATTACTCCCTATCAATACTCCCTATTGAGGATAATACTCCCTATTGAGGATATTCTTTATCCTCTCAGGGTATAGAAAGAAAGTCTGCAAGCAGTGACATCAGTGCAAAGGGGTTGATGAGGATTGACTGGTGTGGGCACATCTGTAACGCTGGATTACCAGCCCCCCACACCCTAAAAATAGTGATGGCGGGGGAACTGAACGGTGGACTTATGTCAGTATATAAGTATAAAATGCTCCAGAAAGTATTTAAAAAACATATTGAATGAGGTAGAGCAGGCTCGGAGGAGATTTAGGTTTTGCCCAGAAATGAGCTTTAAACTTGGTGGAATAAGACAGGGAGGGCTTTCTAACTCTTTCAGATCTAACCACCAGTCATAGAGTGGGGGCTCTCTACCTCTATTATATGTGATCTCCAGTGAAAGAGTGAGGGCTCCCCACCACTTTAATCCCTGACCTTGAGTCTAGAGAGTAGGGGCTTCCCTTTTTACTTCATTGAGGGTGGTGTGTTGTTATTATGACATTTCCTGGTAAACAGAGGGAGATATTCTTCCCTATTGGCTAAATTATATAATTTTGTCAATATAATAGTGTCACAAGTCATTATCAGTCAACTATGAAGTTCTCACTGGATTCCTCTTCAGTCAGAGAATATGGAGGTCAAGGTGAATTGGTGAGAGGTTCCAACGACTTCTTTACTAGTTCCCCTCATGAAGAGTTAAACACATCGTAATGATGGTGAATGTGCCTCAACAAAAATCAGTGTTTGTTAACTTCTCCTGACACACAAAACAGTGATAGAGATAAATGCATGAACAAGTTTTCATATCACATCTATAATTACACCGTAATTCTTGCTTGCTTTTATAAACTGAGACGTGGATGGATCATGACTGAAGATAATCATTGCAGACATGCTTCAAGGCTAGAAGAGTGTAGATGTTGTATGAGAGTAGACCTACAGCCTGTAGCTGATTAAAGCAGTTTTAGTCAATCTACATATGTTACATAAACAGCATGATTGCGTGTTACTTGTCATGCCAAACATCCTTTTATTTTCAGAGATATTTTTTATTCAATGCCTTTTAAAAAAATCATATACCTGACCTGGTAAAAGGCTTTTCCTAAAACTTTTTACAGATTTTGAAGAGTCCTAAGGTCCATTCACACCTAAGCGTTTTGTAGCTCGAAGCTACAAAACGTTCGACATGGAAAACACCATTGTCTTCTATGGTGCCTTAAGCACCAGTACAGGAGCTTCTTTTCAGGCAGAGTAAAGCATGTTGGTCCCATAGATATTAATGGGAGCAACTGAAAAACACTTAAAAAATGCGTGTTTACGTGTGTTTTTCAGGTGCTTCCATTTAAGAGTTTATATGGCAAAACACGCTCGGTTCTGCTTCTGTACTGCAAGTATTGCATTAAAATGCCTGAAAAACACAAGTACAAACACGCAAAAAAAGTCTGTAAATTACCTGGTTACACTCATGCTTAGGTGTGAATGCAGCCTAACTTTTTTGGAAATGGAAGGGGTGGGACTTACACAGCTACGTAAAGTTTTGGGTGGACTAGTCGTAAAGTTACAGCCCAGCAATAGTTTAGACCATGAGACCATGGCTGGATTTTAATAGAGAAATATTTGATGAAGATTCGCAGTGTTTTGCCATTCTTGGATTGATTTAGACACAGACTATGGACACCTTCTTGGCTGACACCTGTGGTGAGCCCGAGCAGTACAGCCATGATTTGGATGGAGCAGTGAGAAGCTCTCTTTCATTTATATAGTGTTCATAAGTTCTATGTGGCACTGCACCTCTAAGTGTTGGGAGACAATCAGGTGAGGATACACTATGTTGTTGGCTGGATTTTTATAAAGGAACATTTAAAGAAAATTAGCAGTTTTTAGCCGTTCTTGAATTGATTTGGATGCAGAGTGTGGACGGCTCCTTGGCTGGCACCTGTGGTTGAGCCTGAGTGGTGGAGCCATGATTTGTATGGAGCAGTGAGAAGCTCTCTTTCATTTGGATATTGTTCATAAGTTGTATGTGGTGCTGAACCTCTAAGAGGTGGGAGACCAGCAGGTGGGGATACACTATGTTGCTGGCTGGATTTACAAAAATAAACATTTGATGAAGATTTGCAGTGTTTGGCCGTTTTTGGATTGATTTGGACATGGACTGTGCGTGCCTCCTTGGCCGGCACCTGTGGTTGAGCCAGAGCGGTGGAGCCATGATGTGTATGGAGCAGTGAGAGGCTCTCTTTCATTGATATAATGTTCATAAGTTCTATGTGGCACTGCACCTTTAAGAGTTGGGAGACCATCAGGTGGGGATACACTTTTTTGCTGTCTGGATTTTAATAAAGAAACATTTGAAGAAGTTTGGCAGTATTTGGCCGTTCATGAATTGATTTGGACACAGACTGTGGACACCTCCTTGGCCAGCACCTGTGGTGAGCCCAAGCGGTGGAGCCATGATTTGGATGGAGCAGTGAGAGGCTCTCTTTCATTTAGATATCGTTTATAATTCCTATGTGGTGCTGCACCAGCCATGCCAAAACACTTTAAAATGCTATGTGACAGTTGCTATTCATGTCCTATTGCATGCGCCGAAATAATAAAGCACTTGCGCCAATGTTCTAATTTAAAAACAGCTCTAAAATATTCACCATTACCAGACTGGTGTAAATACTGTACGGAAGAGGCGTGACAGAGATGATCAGCACCGCAGCAAAGGGAGGAGAGGGGGATATGCATGGACAAGGAGACAATTTAGGATGATCCTAACGCAAGATGATGTCAGATTTGTGTCAAAATGTTGGCACACATCTGAGTAAGCATGCTTGAATCTGTCACACCACCACTATGTAACAGGTTAACAGAAAATCCCATGCACCTCGACTCTGGCAGCATTCGCCCAGCTATACAGTGGGTGGATGTTTTATACATCACTCCCTTTGTGGAATATTTGTTAGCAATGTAATAGAGGGAGTGGGAAGACCTGAACAGAAGGTTCCAATCCATGAACGATGGAATGCAAATCTTGCCACTGGAGCCCCCGAAACATATAAGAAGCCAATGGTCATTAAGACCACCAGTTTCTATTGGAAACATCACTTTGGGGTTAATTGAACTGTTAATATATAAACGTTTTTGTTAACCAAAAGGACAGTCATTACAATATACTATGTATGCTGACATCCTAATACATTATTGTTTCATTGTTTTGTTCCAACAGACATACCGGTTTTCCCAACTCCCTGAAATGGTTATGGGTTCTCCTCCACCACCGGTACCACCGAGGACAGGTCCTGTGGCAGTCCCCTCGTTAAGGAGGTACATTACAATAGCGTAGTCTAACGTCTAATCTAACCTCAATTGTAAAAAGAAAAAAAAGAAAATGGAAAGACTGAAATGTTGAAAAACTTTATTTTTTTATACAAATGTAAGTCTTACTGTAAAATCCACTAACCTTTAAGAGAACCTGTCACCAACTTAAAAAAATGCAGATAAAAGCACAGACTGTATATATCAAATATTTTATATTCTTACTTGCAGTGTTTTTCCTTTCCATAAATTATTTTTTATTTACTTGCAATATGCCTTTGAATGTTTGTCATGGCTCTCGTCTCCTGGGAGTGTGTAATTAATGGCTGTGCTGGCCCGGCTCTTCTGTTCCACCCTTCACCGCTCTACGTAATCTTTTATATAGCAGCCGGGGCAGGAGCAAAGGGGAATAGTATAGAGTGTCACTTGAGTGAGAGCTGTGAGTCTGTTCTTATGCATGACGCAGTTACGCAGAGCATGCAGAGCATGCCTAAGTACCATAGCAGATACACACAGGAAGGTGCTCAGGGCTGGAGCTTAGTATACTAACACCAAAGTGTCTTTCGCTTTCCATAATTGTAAGTGTAACACTCTTTTTGTATATGTTTTCACACAACTTTCACCCAAGACTTACACATTTCTAGGTGGATTCAATTATAAAAATGCGTTCATTCTGGGTGAAAGTTGTGTGAATCTGATAAAAACATTTATAAAGGGACTCTATAGTGTATGTAGAGGCAAGTTTTTTTGGGATAGAATGGGGAAGGGTTAGACCTCCTATCATTTTTGTGCTGGCTGTGACACTGCTGGACAAAAAAGGGGAGCGCTTAAGGGGGAAGCATGCAAAAGGAAGAGCCTTACCGGGGACTTGGGTGCAAAGAGATGGTCAGCAAATGAGGTGCACACTAATTGGGACAATAAATACGTTGTAAATGGGGGCAAAGGATTCTGTGCTCAGTAAAGCAGGGCCAGTTGGCAGGGACCTGCGTAGCTATGCCACTGTCATTACTCTAAACTATATAATTAAACCGAGAAATCATGACATGCTGCTGTACAAAAGAAGGCTTCTACAGTCAGTGCTGAGTGAAGCAATGCAAGCACTGCAGTCATGGCTGGGAATGATATTCCGCATTTTAATTGGCACCTTTGCACAGCTGCATTTGCTGATCTTCTATTCCTCTTCTGCCACCTAGCGGTCATTATGTGTGGTGTGGATGATTTCAAGGGACTTTACAACTTAATTCTATTTATAGTCAAGTTCAGGTATAGTAAACTTCTTCCACTGGTTTTCTGGATTATTTCACCCACCACTTTCAAGGTGACAGTTTACAGGCTAGCAAAATAGAAATAGATAACTGGATTATGAAATTTGAGCATAAAGGTGATGACTATTTGGAAAAACCCATAAAATATTAGAAAGAAATGAAAATGGAGGAATCTAAAAGTGCCAAACTAGGAAAATTAACTAAAAGTGGATTTCTCTTATAGATTGAGGAAGTGTTAGAGCATTTCTCAGGTTTTATCTTTGCCTGTGTCCATGTTGGCAAGATTTGCCCTCACTTCCCATCCTGGTGTTCAGTGTTTCTGAGACTTTAAAGGGGGATCTCCCCAGTGGGACACATACATTTATTAATATAGAAGGAGAGGGATAGAACAGAGGAGGATTGTGGACAGGAGCAAGATGCCCCCCCACCCCACCGGGTCAGTGCTAATAATCCTTTATATGTTAGATTGTGGGGGTCTAAAAATCCAAACGGCAGCCTCCTTAGAACCTGGTAATAGGTTGAGTGTTGAGTGACCAATGCAGCTCTGGTACACATTTTTAGGTATGGAGCCACAGAAGTAAGCTTCCAAGGTTAGAAGTGTGTCAAAGATGTGGTCATGGTTGTCAGGATGGGGGATGTTAGGCTGGTGGCCCTAAGTGGAGGTGCTTCCCCATTCAGACCTCGGTCAGAGCAAGAACCACTGTCAGTAATATCTGTTTCTTGTTCAGACCTGTGATTACAACGTAGAGTAGACAGACATTTCCCAGCCTTGACTTGTCTTAGATGTTATGTGACCAGGATAAGGATACTTACTTCAAAAAATGTGACAACTATTTTCAATATAGTCCAATGAGATTTGAAAATAACAGTCACATGGCTAAAATAAAGATACTTAACCTTGTGCTAAAGCTTTGGAAATTGGGCCTTTTGTGGTATATATATATATATATTTTTTTTTTTAACCTGGAATGTATAACTGAAGACATTTAAAAGTAGAAACAGAAGATAATTTATATACACATTTGTAAAATACAGCATGTATATAGTAATGATTGTTTTAATTCAAACAGGTCCACATCAGATATGACAAACAAGAGCAGAGTGCCAGAGCCCAGTGGGAATGAACAAGGTCCAGGTGAGTATGTGGAGTTGCCTATTGTTTCAAAGGTGTCACTCTCCATGACCCAAACGTATCAAACTGCATTTGATTATTCAGGGAAGAACAAATCATGTATCATTACAGATAATTTACACTGTGCTTTAAATACTATTCATTCACATCAGTCCCTGCCCTTCAGGAGCTTCGAATCTAAGGACCCTATCAAACATGAACACATACACATATTAGGGCAAATTTTAACAGGAGCCAATGAACCTACCTGCATGTCTTTGGGGAAAACCGAAGAACCCAAAGGGTCTGCCACAAAAAATGGCTGGATTTGTGAATACATGCGGCGGTCATGGGTGGCTGAGTGGGCACAGCTGTCCTGAACCACCTTTGATTCCAACTGGAAGAACCCACTCCGGGATTCCCTGAATTATGGTCCTTTTCAGCCTGAAATTATGTGTCTTTTTTCAGCCTGATTGACCAGGCAAGTATCCCTACCTACCTGCAGCAATCCATCTCACGCAAAATGTCTAATATGTTATAAAATATAAATAATTTAACAGAAGAAGTGAGACCTGCAGCAGGCAAAGATTTAGACCCCATTCACACTTGCTGTTGGGGCTACACTGTGAATTCCAGCGGAGTATAGTCCCAATCTCAATTGTGATTGGGGCATTAGGAAGCCAAGTGGGTGACTCAGCCCACCAGTGTCCACCTATAACTGCTAGAAGCTCACCTGACTTGGAAGTCACCTTGAAAATGCACTTAAATTAACTCTACATATACAAAGAATGAAACATTTGACCTCTACCCACATTGCTTACATTGCTTATGATGTATTACAAGGGCCTTCCAATAAGGCATGCTTAGCATCTGTTTTTTATGTTTGCCCTGTGTCCAAATCCCCCCCCAGAGAGATTGACATTGTCTGCTCTGTTACTAGTCCTCCAAGAGATAACCGCTCATTAGCTGAGCCACTGTTTGCAACAGATGATAATAGTAACCTATACAAGATAATTCCTGGGTGACCCATATGCTGGTACATACTGTTTGTACATAAACAAAGACACACTGAATTGCCTGTAACACAAAAGGCTAATCAATTAGAGGAATTATCTGTCAGGCTGAAACGTGGGTCTTGCACTGGAATTTGTCTTCTGTGTATGCTTGGCAGGCATCAGGGCCAGGCTGGATTAGCTGAATCAAAGCTGTTGGATTTTTCCAAGAACTAGATAAAGAAAATGAGAACTACAGAAAAAATACAAAATGCAAAAACATAATAAAAGTAAGGAAATATACTAAATGCAAATTGCTTGGATAGATTAGGTAGGTCCTCATATTACAGAGTTTTGGTAAATCTCAAGGAGATTGTACAAAGATCGTACAATGATATTGTAACATGTACGGTGAGCTTTAGAGGCGGCAGCTCTGTCAACCGTGTCAATGTAATTTTCTACAAAACAAGCATGCAACATTTTCCATCTTCCACAATTATTACTTTGCCTTGTCAGGTAATTCGGTTCCTGCTGTGTTTGCCATCCCAGGGAACCGCGCAGGATATACGGGCTATTACATTCAACAGCCACCAGCTGCCTACCGGAACCACGCCTGGATGTCGTACTCCGGAGAAAATGATTTGCCGGCACAGTGGTCAGATTCGGTAAGCTTGTTAACAAAACTAAAATATATTACACAGTGTACTTAGAATCAGGACACAGATGAGTTCTGAAAAGTTTGATTCGATGTGGTTTTCTTAACTTTAATAAATGTGGGAACCTTCAAAATCCATAATTTGCAAACCAGACATGCCATTAATAATGCAAAATTTAGCAGAATAATTTGGTAAGTTACTGGTAGCCATACCTGGTGAGAATAAGGCTCATCAGTATGATGCAGCTAAACATGACTGCATTCTGTAATACCCTGAACCCAGCCTGCATGATGTCGCTGCACTCTGGGGGCGGATTGGTGGCAGCCTCGGCTCAGAGGAATTAGGATGAGTCACGTACCTGTTTGGAGACCAAGCTGAGGAGGGGAAGGTTACCAGTGCAGACCTTGTTCAACTCTCCTGAAGGTGATGACAGGCAGAGTGAGGATGCAGTAATGCACGAGTACCTGGATGCAGGTCTGGATAAGTCCATGCAGATGCTCGGGTGCATTGACTAAGAAATGGCAGCTGTAGGATTAGGAAGGTCCACAGAACACAGCACAGTCAAGGATACGAAAGTCAGGAATACAGGTCAAGGTCAGTACTGTCCAGACAAAGCAGAGCCAAAACAAATCGAAATCTGGGTTGAGGTCACAAACTGAGGTCGTACAAGGAGAAGCATAAGCGAGGCACCAAATCGGTAAGTGGAAGCGGAGTCGGGGTCACAAGCCAGGATCATCTTTACAGGAACACATGTCAGGTTACAAGGAACAGGAACGAGTTGAAGGCCAGTGAGCAATTATCTCAGATTCCAAAAAGCAGACTGGTGCCAATGAGCACGCCGGTACGTGTGCATGTCTGCACTCCCATGCACACCAAAGCTAGCTCTTCTGCACTTGGGCACTGGTGCGCACCCAATTGTCGGCACGAATGCCAACTAAAACACGTTTGCCCTTTATCTTGAATATGGGATCCCGTGTATCAAAATACTCGTGAGCTTCGACTTGTGTCAGTCTGGTGAATACAGGGCCATCCTTACAGTTGAAATGATTGACTGTCATTCAACCCAAGAAACTGAGGGCACCTAGTGGTGGAAGGGAGGTTTATTGAGGTGGGGCAAACAATTAAAGGTGAGTTTCTCAGGAAAATATGTTTTTAATTTTTTCATGGCCTTTTTATTTCACATTTTGTTTAGCTGTTTTTCGGCTTTACACCTTTTTGTGTAAAGCAAAAAAAAAGCCTGTTTCTTTAAAGCCTTACTAAAGGAGTTTTTTTTTTTTTTTTTTTTTAAACAAACATGCTGATGCATACAAATGTAGCGCAGGACAATATCTGAATACTTAAAAAAAAAAAGGTCCATAGACTCTTAGACTGGGTTCTTATTGGAGCCGCAGGCTTCTGTTCCCTCTACTCTACTTCCCCAAACGTCCTGTTTGGGAAACAGAGTCACATCCTCTCCCTCCACTGGACTACATGACCCATCGTTCCCAGAGCCAGCGAACAGTCATTCAAAAAATTAGGAGCTGCTTTTCATGTCGGGCAGCCCATGCGTGTCGGCGCAGGCTGCACACTCACATCTGGCATGTAGTCTTTTCCTGGGACCATGCATAAAACGGTGGCTCCATAGGACCCTGTAAGAAGATGAACCAACATGGAAACAGAAAAGCTGGGGCCAGCAATTGAGACTGGGTGAAACTGCAGTAAAAGCAAGCTTAAAAAGACTACCCTGTATATTGGCTGACAATTGCAGTGATTTACCTGCAGAAGGAACAGTGTTGTCACCCTATTACGGTAAGTGGAAAATCAATGGATCTACTGATAGGATCAACAGGCAATAACATTATGTTACAGGGGACTCTGTGTGTTTTAATGCTATTGATAGACCACATCACATCTGTCACTTTTACTTTTGCCCACAGGTACAGTTTAATTTACCCTCCAAATGGAAGTTCTAATTACATGTACTGTTATTTGTCACTGCACAGGCTCCCCTCCCTGGTTATATCGAGGCTTATCCAAGGTCAAGATACCCTCAGAACTCTCCTTCCCGCCTCCCCAGGCAGTTTGGTCAACCTGTCAATATACACGCGAGCTTGGACCACGCTGCCGGAGCATCAATCGGAGCTTCTCAGCAAAGCCTTGCAGATACCGACACGCCGGATGCCTCGATTACCAATTTATCCACAGCTGCTTTGGTAAAAGCCATAAGAGAAGAAGTTGCAAAGCTGGCAAAAAAACAGACGGATATGTTTGAGTTCCAGGTGTGAAGGAAAGTGCGGACATCCGCCTTACAATGCACCACATCCTTGGTTGTTGAGCGATGGTAACAGTGCCTAAAGAAATCTGGACTCACATGGGATTATATGCTATTTTTATGTATAAAAGACAAAAAGTGACCTGCTACTGATATGCATTTGTTTTTATTTATATATTTAAAATATAAAGCCATTTTTTTTTTTTTTACCTAATTGATTGAATTATTACATGTTTTTGCAGATAAAAATCATCAGCATTGATAACAATGTATGGTATTTTCAGATACATAAATGAATAATATCTAATGGATTAACAAATGCGGAGGTGTTCAGTGCTTTGGTTGGCTCCAAATATCAGTGTGCCATTCTTCCAGGCCTCCCTTTGCCATTGTTTTTAGATCCAAATAAACATTTTTCTTAACAGAACCATATAGAATGAATGTAATCACTAAAATCTCATATATATTTTAACATGTTAATGTCATTTCGAAAGTAATTTTCAATAGTTTAGAATCTACAAGCGTTCATGAAAAAAAATACCTGGTGATCCTGCCTTGAAGGTCCTTGTTCAGGCACTTCCTTTTATAGGGGGAGAACACGCTGTTGTGGTCTCCTAATTGTGCTCCTCCATTATCACCTGATCTTGCAGGCTTCTGATAGAGACTATCAGGGTTATTCACAAAAGGGTGGAGAGTTTGGGGAAGGCAGGAGAAGTGAACAATCTAGGACAACATAGCTAATTTGGAATAATTCTGCAATTCAGCTCACTTTCCAGTTCAGCTATGTTGTCCTAGATTGTTCCCTTCCCCTGCCTTCTCCAAAATCTTCACCCTTTAGTGAATAACCCTGTATAAGTGGCCGTTTCAGCAGACATTAGGCAAGCATGGTCCCGCCCTAAGTAATGTAATGCAGCCTTTGCTGGAGTGCATATAGACAGGAAGTGCCTGCAAAGAGGCTCAGGAGATCATCAGCAATGAGATGCAACAAAGGGTGAAACAAAAAAAGCTAAAAACATAAACAAAATAACAAAAATGGCAGTTGCTTATAAAACACAGTGCTGTAGGAAACAAAATATCATTAGGTTGGAGTTTACATCTACTTTAAAGTGCATTTTGGATTGTGGTGAGGGGTATAGCACCCTAGTAAGGTTTTTAATGCTGTCTCTATCCTTGCTGGGGAGACTTACCCTTTGCAATGGTGACCAATGTCATTGGGAACAAAAGTCAGGGAAAATCCAACATTTTAAGGTGTCACCAGAACAGGAATATAAGGAAAATTTTCCAATGGGGACCTTTGTTCCAACGCCAACTGTCTAAGAGGGGATCACATTGGAGAGATTTACTACCTGTTGGGTCTGCAGGGCAGAAAGTGAAGGGAAATCTCTCAAACGGAGCACGGATAGGAAAAAAAAACTGACATGTTTTAGCCATTCCCTATGTAAAAACATTCTGGCTTGATAGTGTGTCATCAGTTTAGGAATCAATCAGAAATGTTTCCATTGGGAAAAGACACAGCAAGAAAAATATATTCTGTTATCAGTATATTGAAGATATAAAACATCTGCCATGACCCCCATTCCCTGCACTTCCTGTCTTGGTGCCACAGGGACCTAAATAAAGGCAGATCTGACCCAAAGCAGGACAAAATAAAATAAAAAAAATGGCATAACATTAGTCACTCTATAAAAGACTAAGCAATGATGTTAGTAATGTTAAATATTTGACAGATGCAGCCTAGCTTTCATAACATTTATTGTAAACTAATCTGAATTAAATATAATAAACTCTTCTATGTCCTAAACACTACAGATGAACCATAATGTAGAAATCCCTAACAGAAATCTGGCGCCATACAATCTCATAGCCTAGTGAGAGAAGAGATTAATTGAATAAGCTTCCCATCCACTCAATATTGAAAGGGTTTGTTTTTAGACTGGAGCTCCGCTGAAGCTGGTAAACTGAGAATGTTGAGTACATTTGGCTTAGAACACGATCTCTAGTCATCTATACAATCAAGGCTCTGTCTGCCTAAGTGCGCTATTCTTTAGTAAGAAATAATACTAAGCCAGAAACAGAAAAGGGGCAATTCTTAGTCTAACTGGAAGAGAAAACTAATGAAAAGTCTCTTTTTTCAACCCAGGAATGTTCGGAGATAGAGCGCTATTATGTAATGTGCTTTGTGTGTTAATTTAAGATGTAAATACAGTTCCTACTTTTGTTTAAGATAATTTTCCCCCATGGAAAGCGGTAATTCATTATTCTGGATACATTCTATACAATGGAACCTGATATGCTGGACCATATAGATGGCCTCCACACTTTCCATCTTTAGCTAGGGTCTGCTTATATATGTGAGTTCTGTACAGCGTAACCAAAAATAATCAACTTTGCAACTGGGAAATGGAACCAAACCATAATGGTATCAAAGTGATATAGTGGCCTAAAAAATTGCTAATTTTTCAGTGCTAATATCCACTTACAAGGCATCTTTCCTTACCATTGGCACATGTTGTAGTACATAGGTTTAGCTTTAAAATATCAAAGACCCACTGGGCAATTAGCTACAGTGCATGTTTAGCCAAAACCTTTTTTTTAACTTTCAGATAGCGCAGGTAAGGGTTTGAACCTTTTTTCATTGCTGCCCTTTTATTAGAGGTGCTGGATCTCCTATTGTTAATCCAATATTGTGACAGAATGTCTCTTTAAGCTGACTCACTTCAGTGTGGCTGCTCATATGTACCAGAACACCCCCAAGGCCAGGAGTGGTCTTGAGAGAAATAAGGAGTTGTAAGGGCACCATACCAATGATCAAAGAGTCCAAAATCTGTGAACTGTTGTGCTTACTGGAAGAGTTTGAGGGCCGCATGCAGTAGATACAAAATGAGAGAGAGAGTAGGCAGGAGATCCCTAATGGTGTAGTATTCAAATGAAAAAGTGTTCTGCTGTTTCAATATCCGAAAATATTATGGTAGATAGTGATAGATTCACATCTGGTGGATTGTGTGTTACCACTTATGTGTTGTGTCCAACCTGAGAATACTCTACAAGGTTGGTGCATCCAACCTGACAATACTCTACAAGGTTGGTGTGTCCGACCTGAGAATACTCTACAAGGTTGGTGTGTCCGACCTGAGAATACTCTACAAGGTTGGTGTGTCCGACCTGAGAATACTCTACAAGGTTGGTGTGTCCGACCTGAGAATACTCTATAAGGTTGGTGTGTCCAGCCTGAGAAACCTTGTAGAGAATACTTCTGTCTCCACGCAGGTCTTTTATTGGTTGTTCTTGATGCTTAGCAGAACCCAGATCCAGCCATTCTTTGAAAATGTTCAGAGTGGTCAAAGTGGTGAGTGGATAGGTGTAAAGAAAAGTAATAGAGCAGAGGCCCACAGATTGTAGGTAATAATCAGTCCATGGAGGACTTAGGTTACTTAATAAAAGTTGAACTTATTTGTCACCAAAAGTTGAATAATTAATGCAACTGTTATCAAGTAACCAATTTCTTCCTTGAACTGCTTATTACCTACATTCTGGGCACCTCTGCTCCATTACCTTTTTTTTATGTCTATCTACTCACAATGAATCCAAAATGGTATTTTATTAGATACTCAGTAGAATTAGACTTGTTTATGGGTTGAATGCCTAAAACGTATTGGCTTCTTTTTCTACTGATTATCTAATAAAACATTTTTTTTAAATATCTAATCATTGATGTGGCGCCCTTACTACTTCTTACATAAATGTTTAATGCTGTTTATGTTTCCCCTGGGGAGATTTACCCTTTTTCTGTGTCCTGGGGGCCATTGTCAGAAAGAGAGAAGTGATGGGAAATGTCAAATTTTACAATGGACACTAGAACAGGAGATGATGGTAAATATTCCAATGGGGACATCAGTTCCAGTGACAGCTGTCTAAGAGGGGAACTCCCCTAATTCTGTAGCAATTTCCCCTTGCTTCCTGTTGTGTCTTCAGGACAGCGAGGGAAGGAGAATCTTCAATATGGGACAAAGACAGCTAACCCCCACCCCAAAAAAAAGAAAAATCCATTAGCCCATCTCTACTTTATCCAAAAACAAAACAAAAATGTTTTGGCTGTTCATACCCTTTAATGTCTCCTCCCAAGCTGCTTATACTTGCCTCACTCATTCTTTTGTCTAAGTTTATCTGTAAAAAAAAAATCAAAGCAACTGGACTTGCTGGGCTTTCCTTGTTATCCAACTAGCTTTTATGAATTGAGAAAGCTAATGGAATGCCTTGATTTTTTTTTTTTTTACAGATATACCATGACCTGGATGATTGAGAACCTTCACAGTCATTTTGTCTAATGACTTTGCTTTGACAGGGGACTCCCCCCCCGCCCCATGTGACAGCCCTGGTGCCTAGTGATTGACCTTTTAGCCACACAGTGCTGCATTGTGGGAATAAGGATCACATGTACCCCCATACCTATAAGTACTGGATATTTATCTTTGCTCCATGTGGCTGAAAGCAGTGGTGGGAAGATTAGGCCTTGGGGAAGATTATTATATAAACGGCTGAGAACGAGAATTTGGTTGAACATGTTGCTTTGCCTTTAAGTTCCTAGTTGTATCACTGAACCAAAAGAGTGAAAACAAATGACAGCAACAATTGTTATAAAATAATTTGTTAATATTTGTCATTTTTGTGACATAGTCCCTTTTCACAAAGGGACTATGAATTAGCAAGACACTTGCCATTCATTTCAATTAACAATTGGCTTTATAAAAAAACACTTATTGTCCATAGTAAGAAAGAGAATATGTTCCCAAGCAACGCATGGTAAATTCTAAGCACCCTAGATCACATGGTCTCTGGTAAAAGAAGCACTGTGTGTGTTTTACATCATTAGAGACCACAGAAAGCCTGATGTTCGAACTCAGACAGACCCTGTCTGGTAGACTTTCAGCGAGCTAAGTGGTTTACAAAGGCAAAGCATTTTGCAGCACTACTTAGCAATGGCTTCCCTCATGTACATATAAAATTAAAAAAGAATCATAGAAACACGTTTTTTGACACATTGATCCACACTGAGATGAGTATTTGCAATAAGCCAATTATTTTTAAATTTTTATATCTAAAAGACATTAAGAAGACTATCGTTTTCCTTTAATCCCAATGAAGCAATTTGTGAATAGAGTATATCAGCATGTTAACAGCATGGTAAC